ATGCTATTATTTTGTTTGGCAAGGGGAGATGTTGGAAAACTATTGCTTCCACATATTGTTAATCCTGTAGTAAAATGTCCAATTCTCTCTTGTCTAGCAGTAGGGCGTCAGGGAGCCATTCCCTTCCCTGTGGGATTTTCTAGTGGGATTTTAATTTCGTGTATTTTAGGGAAATACGATCTACTGCTGATAAGGTAATAGTTTCCTTCTGTTCAAGTAGACTGTAAAAATTTGGCAGAGCTTCTTGATAGCAGACAGGAACATAACATATGAAAATATCTCATTTTAAAAAAATGGCATGCCTGACTATCGCCTGTATCCTAAGTATAGTATATATCCTATGTATAATTACACAGAACATGCATAACATTGCTGCCCTTGAAAAAAGTTCTAGCCAAAGGAATAAACAAAACTTTCAAAGCGTAAAGTCAGTCCTGGCATTTTGGTTTTGAATTACTGTTTGGGCCAAATTCTTTGCTGAGTTTAAGTCCATCAAACCTGGCTGGCAGTGAGCCAGGAGGAGTGCATTTCATGAATAGCAGTATGATTAAAGCCAGCGCAGCTTGCTTTGCTATGTTACAGGGCTGTGATCATTTCAGTGCACAGGAACGTCCTTGGGTGGAGCGTGCCATCCTGCCACTTGGTGCGGTTCCGCTGGGTGAGACCTCAAGTGTTTTCTGTCTCACAGAATTTCCCCCCAGCGTGAGTAGTCACTCAGATCTTTAAAAATAGGAGGAAATAAATCGCTTGTTTATAATTTTTTATAAATTTATTAACTATGCACTTGCAGTAATTTATTTAAAGTTAAATTAATTGGTTTTAAATTAAGATCTCTTAGTAGAATTGAGTAATTTTGATTTGCAAGTGGCTTTGCCAAATGACGCTAAAACCAAGTGAAATTAGGAATGTGTAACCTGAATATTAAGCGTGCCACCACCCTCCTCATTCTGTTACTATGGATCATTATTTTGCATTGTGAAAATTGCATTGCAGAGGAAGTTGGCAGATAAAGATTTTTTAAAATCTAAGCAGTGCTCTTGATAGAGCTTGATGTACAACTCTTAGTTGTTTAAAGATCCATTTTAAGGAGATTCCTTTAGTTCATATCTAAGTTTATGCCACAGAAAATGATGGCCAGTGCATCGTCTTCATTTTCTCTAGAAGAAACAGCTGAACTCTTGAATTTAACTATCTGGTGATGCAGAAAGTGTTGGAGAGGACATGCTCAGGGGGTGGTTTGTTCGTTCTCCACTGCTGATCACTGAAGTCCAGTTAGCATTTTCTAGAACAGATTACAACCCTACAGCTCTGTCCAGTGTTCATAACCAGTGCTTACTCCTCCCCTGGCCAGCAGAAAAAAAATCTCCTCATCTGTCTAGTTAGCAATCTGTTTGTTGCATGATTCGTACCTGCTGCAGACAAGGTTGTAGTGCATCCTGTTGCAGTCACCAGTGGAAACATTTACCTGCCCTAAAAAAGGAATGAGATCTTCCAAGTTTATTTTACATCAGCTGTTGAATGGTAAGGCTAGGAAAATGTTTGAATGCCCTTTGTGGTTTAAATCTCACTCTTTGATTTAAGCATGTGAAGGGCTTCACATTTTGAAACGCTCAGCAAGCTGTTCCCACAATGACATGCATGTAACTATCCCAATAATGTTCTTGTGTTTACAAGTTTGACCTTAACAGCAGGTGCTTCAAACATTTTTGTCCAAGGAAAAGAGTCTTTATCTTTGTGAGACTTTACTCTAAGAAGTCTAAATATTTGTTTTTGAAAGGACAACTCTGCTTTTTAAAAAATTTTATTGGGTCTTGGAAGGTACATGTGCTCAAATGAACATACTTTTCAAAATGCAGCACTACAGTACGAGAAATATCATCCATAGTTCTGTCTTTGTTTTTTTTCTCTGTGGGGTAAACCTACTGATTGAAATTGAGACAACTGAAAATTTTAAATGAACAAGCGTATGGTGCTGCTACACAAGCATATGTTTTTATATATATATATATATAAAAAAAACCATATATATATTAAAAAAAATACATAACATATATATGAGAACAACTTGCCAAACAAGTGATACGCTTTTTTGGGTTTTCCACTTCATAATATTTAAGAAGACATAGAGTGAAAAATACTCTAGAGTCTTCTCTGCTTGGTAAAAGCTGAGTAACAGTTCTGGGGTGGTCATTCCAGTACTGCTTTGCTTTTTCCAGGATTGTGTATTTTCCCAGAATAAAATGCATTTGTTCTGGAATAAAATACATGCAGATAGAATTGACTGAGAATAGTTTGGCCAGTCATTGTACCTACACAGGCAAATACCCAAACCTCAGTATGCTGAAGTTAGTGTGCAATTTTTAAAACGCAGGGTTACCTTTAACTCATTTATGACTGTCAGTATAAAAGATGTTAGCTCATACAATCATGGTATTGTTTTGCACATGCAGCTTGGAGAGGCAGAAAGAAAATGTTTGATTGTATTTGTCAGCAATACAAAATAATCTGCCGTTGATCAGCTTTGTCCTTCTCTTGCAGTCACAAGGACAGGGCATCTGTAGGCCATGTTTTAGGACTCTGCAGGCTACATTTGGTCTTTGGGCTGCATGTTGAGCAATCCTCACTTAAAACCTACAAGGCAATTACCTATAACATGCTCGAAGATGAGACCTTCCAATCTTGTAAGATTATTTGGTGGCTGCTGGTTGCACTCTTAAAACACTATCACATCATTACATTCTTCTAAAAAACCAACATAACTGCATTTATCCTATTTGATCATTGACCCATGAGAATACTGCTTCATGCTCTTCATCCTGCTTCACAAAAAAGGACAGCTCTGGAAACCGGCACTTCTTATCTTGTGTAAATAACTGTGAATGTGGAGGTGTGTTAAAGCACAACAGCAATAAGTGGCTACGGATAGAACATGTGTTGACCATTTAGGAGAGAAAAGTTATCGATTTGCTTCTTTGTGTGCCTGATATCTTTGTGGAAAAGAGCAGATGGCTATAAACATGGATATATGTGTGTGTGTGTCCGTAGCTATAGTTAGTTTTTTGGAGAGAGTGTTCCTGTTGGGGTTATTGGAAAACCAACTGTGTATAAAGCTTTCTCTGCTTTAATCTTTTATGCACCACGCTTGGGTTTATGTGATTTCTACTCTCTATGTATGCATTGTGTACATCTAAGAGATACCTTTCCCCAGTAGAAATACAAAAGCTTGTCATGTTTGTAAATGGTGGTGGGGGTCACCAGCATGGGGGCGGGGGGGGAATGTATCTGTATTTATTTTTAAAAGCATCAGTAGTTCCATAGACATTGTCAGTTTAGGATTCTACAGGGTTAGTTTTATGGGATGCTTCTTTTTATTTGCATGTCTTTTGGTTTATGTGATATTAACACCAAAAAAAGCTTTTGAAAAACTGGTAGTTAGTCAGTATGGGAAATTGTTATTAACCAGAACCTGTCCTTATCAGCTTTTGCTGTTACAAGATCTGTTTTCATATATGGAGTTGAAAGAGTGCCTTCTCCCCAAGAGTGCACTTCAGCTACAGTTTAGAGCAATCAGGTTGGTTCTGCTGCAGTTCTTTTTTCCCCCCATGTCTTCAGCCACGTGTTCCCGTCCGTCCCCCGTCCTGTCCGTCCATGTTTCCCCGTACCCCCCCGCCCCCCGCATTGGTTCTCACAGTAAAGCAATTCAGAGAACTAAAGTGGCAGAAATCTGACCCAAAGAATAAACTTTCCTCCTCCTTTTTGCAGAAAAATTCTGAAGTAAATACTTTGCACTTAAATACTTTGGTACTGAATGTTACTTTTTATCTCTGTAGATCTATGTAGATTTATAGTATGTAACTTACAAAGAAAATGCAGTATGGTGCACGTTTGCATTTCAAACTTTTCATGGCTATGTCTTGTGAGAATGTTTTTGTACTTAGTACAGCTTTAAAGGAAGAATATTCATTGTACAGCTTCAAAAAGTGCTGAACTAAGTCAGGAAATATTAATGATAAGATTGAACATTCAGCCTTAACTCTTCCTCTTTGCATGTTTACATTAAAAAAAAAAATCTTAAAACCTACAATTAGATTGATCTCATCACATACTTTCTTAATATACACCACTATGTTATGTCTAATCCTCGTCTACATGTTCTATGCAAGTCTGTCTTCTCCGTGGCGGCTGGAGTTAAAATGGTTGACCTGAAGCCCTTCGTGAATTAAGGGCCTGTTCCAGCCTACTCACTTATATTCCCTGGGTAGTCAGTGGAAAGAAGTACACACCTCAAAAAGGCAGTTCGGTCCCATGTATCTTGGGCACCTGTCTTTGGTGGAGTGAAGTGCCCTCTGAGGGCGGTGCTCTCTGTCTATTGACTATAAAAGAAAGTTGTATCTTGGATCAGATGCCTAGCAGTGATGGGGATGGAGTTAGGTGAGGTGATGTGGAGAGTTAATGTTCTGTTAGTTCAGTTACAGGGGAAAAGATAAAACTGTTTTTGTAGAGGGAAAGGAGAGAGATAACCATTAGAAAACATGAATAACATATGGTTGTAAAAATTAATGAAGTGGGGAGGAGGGGGGTTGAAAAAATGTAATAGCTAAGATTACTTTTCATTTTTGTTCAGAAGTGCATTCAATTTTAAGATGTCATTGAAAGGCGTTATTGCTCCAATTATTTCCAAATACTCTCATGCAAAAAATAGCTTTTTCTTGAGTTTTAGGATGTTATTAACTCAAGGTTGAAGATGTGGGAATGATCTACATAAGCATTTACCTATTGTACCCTAGTTCCTAATTTTGCAATTGATCCCTTAAATACTGTTTCTTACACACACTATTGTGGCAAAGAAAAACTTAAGTAAAATTGAGCATCTGCTTAGTAACCAAAGATAAGCTACGGTTTACACTTCTGTAACTGTGGATTACAGGCAAAGAAACAATTTAGTTGTGAACGGATTTCAGCAAAGGTCTCTTTAAATCCTTTCTTTTTCTCCTATAAAGAAACAACACAAATAGAAGATCCCAGGAAACAATGGAGGCGAGAACAAGAGAGAATGTTAAAAGATTATCTTATGGTAGCCCAGGATGCTCTCAGTACTCAGAAAGAACTGTACCAGGTGAAAGAACAGAGGCTAGCACTTGCACTGGATGAGTATGTACGGTTGAATGATGCCTACAAAGAAAAATCAAGCTCTCGTACAAGCTGTAAGTACAGTAGAGAACACAATGTAACTTCTTTGATCTGTGCCTTGCGGGGGATCCTGTTTCTCTTTAGGATGAGTTTTCAAGGTTTGCTATGAACACCTTGTACTCTGGCTTTTTTAGAGATAGCATCCCTACTTCTTGGGGTTTTTTTTTTATTTTTTTTAATATAAAGCTATTCTGCTGGAGAGAACCCTCTTCTCTCTGATACAATTGAACTCCTTTGAGCCGTGGTTTAGAGCAGTTGGCTCTGAAATCTATTTTGTCATGCAGCTTGTCAGAACAAAATTCTGCCAGATCTAGGTTCAAAGTAAATAGGATCTCTTGCGCTTCATGGCTGCATACTGAAATGACCCTACTGTGTTGACAGGTGTCTGCAATAGACAGAGGAGGGAATTTGTTGCTGCTTTGTAAGAATAGCATGCAATAATTTTGTAGCCTGTGTGCTGTGATCAGGGGTGAAGTAGAGATACATGTTGCAATGTTGGGCAAGGAATTGGCATGCAGTAAAGTGCTGTCAGAGGCCTGTCGTTGGCCAAACATCTCTCTTAGTGTGATAAAAGTAACGTGCAGCTGCGGAAGAACTGAGTGGCAGACCTCTGAGGCTTCTGAATAAATCTTCTTCTGCTTTCCAGAAATCTCCTTAGAAGTTACAGCTTCCAGAAGGAGGTGATTGCAAGATGGCTCAGTTAGAAGAATGAGAACAGAAAGCAGGAGATAGAAAGCCAGGGAGAATGAGGTGCTACTTTAGGATCCTGGGATAGGCAAAGGAGGAGAGATAGCAAATAGTGGTAGGGGAGAACGGGGAAATTTTGATTATTCATTAATTATTGCCATCCTGCAATGCTGACTACTCTCTATTATATGTTTTTCTGCACTTTGTAGTTTTAGATCAATGTGGATTCCTCAAGGAAGGGATTAATTAATGATTTAAAAGTACTTAAATATTTGTCCTTTTTTGTCTTTTTAAAAAAGTGTTCTCAGGTTCCTCATCAAGCACAAAGTATGACCCTGACATTCTGAAGGCTGAAATCTCCACTACAAGATTAAGGGTGAGAGTGCTTAACTCATATTCATTTGTATTCTGTGTGCAAAGTTTATGACTATAGAATAAGCAAAGCTTGAACTAGCAGATGTATCTTGTATCCTGGTACTGAAACCTCCTAATATTCTCATTAAATACCATTCAAAGGTTTTTAATGAATTTTTAAAGCTCTGTTACTTTCAGATAACACATTTTGGGGAAATTTAGACAGATATTCTAATTAGATGTGGGTTTAAATAAATCTGATAACTATTTTCACTTGTAGGCTTTTGTTTTTAAAAGGAAGAGTAAAAATCTTTAGGTGAAAATAGAAAAGTAGTTAGGCCAAGGTGAGCTGCAGCTAGATGATTGTTTTTACACAATCTTTCTTCTGTGAGAAAGGCACCATTAGCTACATGAACTGCCTCACAAATTTCTGTTGGTTTAAAAAACACTTTTCAATAATGGTGTGAAACTTTGCTCTGTTTTGTCAAAATGGAATGGTTCAGATCAAGAATGAAAGTTTGTGTTTGTATTTTGAAATTGCTAATGAACAAAAATCCATTATTTGGTCAACTGTGTTCAGTATGGTCACTAACAGACTCCATATAAAGAACTTTCATTCACAGGTTAGTCTCTGGTGAATTTATCTTGAATAAGGAGGAAATGGTGTGGAAGACATTTAAAATCTATATAGGGAGTTCATTTATTTAAGCTGTGGCATATAATGTTCGATGGATAGCCTAGGCTTTCTGTAGTAGTTAGTAATGAAAACAATTAGATTAAACCATGCAGGTTAAAAAGGCAGCACCTCACAGCATAGTCCTTCGATGAGGGCTGGAATACAGACTCTGCAGTAGCAGAAGCAGTGCAAGCGATAGCAGTTACTCAGCTCTTCCATTGCCCCCTCCTGGTTTCTGCACAGAGCAGCACTTATAGAAGCCTCTGAGAGCAACATCCTCCTTCACCTGGAGTAAGAGTTATGATTAGGAGTCTAAACAATTAATGTTTAAAAGGAACTGTGGAATAGCTCATTAAAATTTTAAAACCCAGTATAAATCAGGGATGGAATACACTGTAAAACTGGCATCCGGATGTTGTTCTCCTGACTGCTTGTACACCTGTTCATCCCTACCAATCTCAATTTGTAGTCCCTTATCCTTTAAGGATAAGGAAAGGTGGCTAGTGAGAGAACTTATTTCAACACTGGAGGAGATGGGAGAAAAAATGTTGTAAGTTTAGTAGGGAGAATCAACAGCAGTGAGGACTCTGTCAGGAACAAGAATGGAAAGACAAGGCGAGAGCTTCTTTCTAAAATGAGTGGAGCGGTAACAGATGTTCCCTTTGGCCAGGAGATCACTAGTATATTTGGGAAGTTATCAGTGTTGTTGAAGAACAGAACACATGATCAAATTTAAATATAATCACCTACAAGTCAAAGAGGGGAAAATTCAGACATGGTCCTGTGCTCAGTTTTTCCTGTTACTTAGCTCTGATCACCTCCCAGCTCAAGATGCAGAAACACTGAATCACCTCTTGGCTGCGGATCTACAATTTGTCTGTTCACTGAGGAGGGAGGCAGATGTGTTGATCATAGTAATTCATTTTTTGGAGGTGCTTTCCTCTCTTCATTGTTCTTGGAGTCAAGGAGCCTAATATCCTGTTGGTTCCCAACACCTGATTTATTGGCATTGCAAAGTCCAGGTTGCATATGTGCCTAAAACAGGTGACCTGAATCTTGTCTGCAGAGTTTAGAAGGGTGCGAGTCCAAGAATATCTGTATCAGCATAAAGTGTGTTGTCATCCAAAGCCACTGGATATGAAAATCATTGAGATAAGAAAAAGTGGAGCCCTGTGATGCTAGGGCTGGAAAGTGGTTTTCATGGAAGATGGCAAGAGAGGTATGACTATTATCATAGTTTACCCTTATTTGAATGTTTGAAGATGCTTTGCTAATAGGCCACCTTTTGGCATTTTACAGTATATGCATGTGTGGACTTAATGGGAAACAAAGTTAGTCATTAGTAAGCTGCTAGCCAGCTAGTTAGAATTTGCATATTGTTCAGTGAACTATTAGGTCAGATGTACTAAACCTGTTTCTCTCTCACACTGGCTGAGGCTTACTGGTATCATCAGGTTAATGGTGGCTGGACGGGGAAACTTGGCATTTGAGGAAGTTCTGAATTGGCCTTTGACCTTTTCCTTGTTAGCTGTGCTTAACACATGCATGTGGAGCCTTTTGGATACACAAATTGCCTATTGTGCAATAGGTCGTGGAGAAAATACGACAGAAGTCAGACAGATGTTAAATGAAATAAGCAGGAGAAGACAGACCTTTCTCACAAGATTAAAACTGAAGGATCTGATCCTGCAGTGGGCTTTGAGTCAGGCCATTTGGGGTCTTAATTAGTAATCGGTAAGATAATTCAGACAACATAAAGCATACGTGATCACAGTATGTTTTACGCGTATGCAGCGAGTAGGGGATGCACCTTTATAAAATAACGAGAGGTTTTTTGTCATTGTTGTTCCATTAGTATTTGAGTGCTGGGAATAGACGGGGGTTAGCACAGGAGCCTGCTTGAAGATGCAGTTAGAAGGAGGAAGCGAGAGGCCTGTCAGGTGACTTAAGATGATGTGCAGAAGCAGCAGGAAGGGGGTGAAGGATAATACAGATGAAGAGTTGTGAAAAAGCAGGAGTTACATGAAAGTTTTGAAGGAGAAGACAAGGAGCACAAGAATAGTTTAATGCAAGTATGATGCAGTAAACAAAGAGTCTATATTATGATGTAGGTCATGTCCTTCTAGGATAATGTGCCTAACTCACATTTCTTGATAATGAAATGATCATGAATTACAGCAGAGGACACTCAGAAGATCATCTTGAGGAAAAATGTAAGGGTTTCTGAGAGATCCAATCCTCTAAGTTGAAATCCAGTGTGCCTTCTGCTATTATTCTAAATTCATATTTCTGATTTAAAAAAAAAAATTTAGCCATTCTGCATTCCTCAGAAAAGTTGGGACTTCTTTCATATTTTACACATTACCTGGAACGTAAAGGTGATATCTTCTCATTTTCTATAACCTTGATCAGAATACTTGAGAGATGATTATTGGGGTTTTTGTGCTAGTCAGGGAAGAAATAGTTAAGGAGCGCTGAATGTATACTTAGAGACATTGCCTGTTTATCATGCTAACTATTTATTATGGTCAAAATAAAAACAGCTTTCTGTCAGGCAAAGCAACTAGTGGTGATAGTTTCCAAAAGCCTGAACCTAATCCCTCATCTAGAGAACAGATTTTGCTTTGGAGAAAATGGAGATTGAAAGCATTTTATTTCTGTCACAGAAAATTTGTTAGCCAGAAGCTACAAACTTGAATGCTTAAGTATCATTCACAAACCCATACAAAGAACTCTGCAAATCACTGGTTATTTTAGACATACCAAGCATTTTAAGCCTCTTGGAAAGCTACAGCAGCTGCTGATGCTCAGTACTTCTAGTCACCTGGCATGTTGGGAATCTTGCCTTTTTTCTTTTTTTTTTTTTTCTTTTTTTTATTTGAAGAATAGCACCAAGTAGGAAGTTTAAGGGGATTTGGATACAAAAAGTCTTGGAGACGTATTTTGAAATTAATTTCAGTTAAAGTGGTCAAATTCTTCATTTTAATATAATTCATTTTTCAAAAGAGTTGAATACCTGAGGACCTATGTGAAAACAAGCAAGAATTTCACAGTGGTAGGTGAGAGCAGGGGACTTCCAGCAGGCTTTTCCTTTTTTACCTTACTGATTGGGAAGGTAAAAAGCCTAACAATATCTGGCTAGCACATAGAGTGCAAACAAGCCAGGTTAGATGTATAAATACCAAAATTTGGGACTCCACATTTCAAGGAGGCATTTCTGTCTCTATGTGTATACTGAGGATTAATTTTAATTTGTGTTAAAGTACACTCCTTTTATAGGTGGTCCAGAAACTTTGTTTTAGTACGTTTGGGAAGTATGACTTAAAAAATTAAATGGAGGGTTTTTTTTATTTAATCTTGATTCATAAATATTTTGTAGTGTACTCACATCTGCTAACATCTGAAATAGCAATATTAAGATTAAAAAGCAATTGAGCATGCAAATTTAGGGAAAGTAGGGAATGTTTTGCCAAAGACATTTCTATTAAATAGATGCATATATTTGCGATCCAAATGTGTTCAGTGATTGTCGTCTTTGAATTAAATGAATATGAATTATATATTTAGGGATCCAATGTCTGTAAAGCTTTATGAGAAAGGATGGTTCATAGGAGGAAAAAAAAAAAAAGGAGCCCACACTTTGTCTTTTACAGTGCAAATGACTTGAGAGGTTCCTGGAATGAAAAAGTGAAAATATAATAAGCCTAAAAATAAACAGGGATGTCCCTGTAGGACAGTTGGAATGCATGCTTAACAAGTGAGAAGTAAATTACTTGTTAAAGTTCTCTCAGGTTTAATAACACAGTGTGGTATCGATACAAATAAGGAATGTGATTTAATCTGCTTGTGTCCCTTTAATACTAAAGCATGTTGCCCATAGACATTAGGAAGAGAACGGATCCTTTTGTTTTTAATATGTGTCAGTAGAGCAATTTACTCTCTTTTTTTTGTCTCATTTGATGTAGAGAATACATTAGTTGTTCAAAGCCATGTGTTCTGCCGTTTAACAAGAGGAATTTTCTAACTCTTGCTTTGATTTAACACACAAGGTTAAGAAGCTGAAGAGGGAACTCTCTCAGATGAAGCAGGAGCTGCTGTACAAGGAACAGGGCTTTGAAACACTGCAACAGTGAGTAAAAGAAAATAGTTGAAACTGACTTAATTCAGTTGCGTGATTTCTTTTTTTGGCATGGAATTGAATCCATCTTATGTGAGATAATTATTGGGGGGAAAAATAAGCATCTAATAACTCTTTTTGTTGTAGTTAGGATGCAGGAAATCCGTAGAAATGGCAAACCTATTGTGCAAGTGTTAACATGAGAAATCTGTTCTCCCTCCTATTTTTTTGCCATGAGGTAGCTTGTGTTGCAAAAAGGCAGAAAGAAGGGCAGTGCTTAAGAGTCCGAAGGAAGAATTTAGTTGCTTTGTGTATCCTGTTTAAAAAATAATTTAAAAAAAAATTGAAAAAGTAATTAGGTCTTTATGTCCTCCTTCCCCCACCTCTGAGCTCAAAAGAGAGAGAGAGAGAGAGAAGGGTGCTGTTCTTGGAGGTATAAATGGTGCACAACTGTGCAGGGTTTGAAATGAGTCACAATTTGAGGATTAGAGACCTGACTTTCTTTGTTCCAGTTGCTGGGATGCCTGGTG